TCTTGAGAGCTTGACTTTGAAGCCTGAACAATCTTTTGACGTACGTGTTTGAGAATGTAGAATGAGGCATGTATGGTTTGTGGTGGCCCAGTTTCACTAGCATAAGTTTGGGATTTGCTATTCCTGCCATGTATATTATAGAAAAACTCTTCTAAAATACTTTGTAGCTTTAAAAAACATTTTCAGGAGGCTGTTCCTGTGTCTCTTAGCCTGTTAAGCAGAGTGTCTTGATTGCCATGAGGAAGAGAAAAATTAAAACTAGTACTTTTCTAACATATCTAAAATAATTCCAGGTCACTTCCATGAATAAAAATTCACTGTTTTAAAGCCTAACATCTCAGACTCTACATTTCAGTAAGCTGGTCTGATGGGAAGCTGCTAAAGTATTTCTGTTTCATTGACCAGGACAATAGATACATCCTTAAAACCAGGACAATTTCATATTTTTCAGAATTAATTTTGCCTGTCTTGGAACTCATGCAACTATAATTTCTGAGGGAATTCCACTTCTTTGGTTGGGGAGGGAGGAAATACTTCCGTGGCAGGTTGGCTTTAAAATATAAATGGTGCTGTTTGAAGCAGCTTAAGAACCAGGAATGCCAGACTGAACTGGGGAGACTGATTAATGGGCAGGTGATGCAATTGCAGCTATGTGATAAATTGCTTGGATATTTCTTTATCAAAAGCCCTGCAGTACAGTATGTCACACAATTATCACACACGTACACATAGTCTACATACATATAGGCAGATGTCTTGGGGTAGATCCTCTGCAAGCATAAATTGATTGAGCTCCCCTGAAGTCTCTTCAAGTCCTGGAGCTTTGCCATTTTGTACCAATTAAGGAGTTGGCCCCTTTGTCTCCATCTATATTCACTAAGCTGCAGACCAAACTGATGATTATTCGTCTAAGTAAGTGTTGCAAGTTTCTGGCTCTTATTTGCTAATGAAAAAAAAATGTTCTAACATGAAACTGGGCTTAGATCCCAGTTTTCAGTCATACTCTCCATTAAAAGATGAAGGATGTGGCATACATCACCTGAGAAGCATAAATCAAATAGTAATAGCACTGTTGTTTTCCTAAAGAATTCAGGAAAGGACTTAATTGCGTTTACATCTCCTTCTGCATCTAGCCTGATGTCCTGAGTCAGTTGCATTAAGATTGAGAAATCCTTACCACGGATACAATGCACACAACAGTTACAGTCACTGATGTAATACTGGCGCCAGTAAGCTTTATTTTATTTAAAAAAATACTACTCTCCATGTACTTTAAAATAGTATAGACGTAAAATATTTAAAAAAAAACCAGAAGCTCTGTCTGTGTAATTTGATTCTGAGCCTTAGCAAAGCAGGCAAAGTTCCAAATATTTTTCTCTTCTCAAATTGTTTAAAATATGTTTCCAAGGGTGATTTGGCTGGAGAGACGACCACTGGGGAATTACAAGCTGAAAAGTTTTATTTTTTGTGAAGATCTGTATTTCTGTGAAGAAACCGCAGCTGCTTTTAGGGCGGGCCAGGAGCCAGGAGTAAGGTATGCTCAAAAAACATTCTCTCAAGTGAAGTCTCATTAATGACACTGAAAGCAAAAACCGTTTTTTTCTTAAAACTTAAAAGAAAGACGCTGAGATAAGTCCATTGCAAACAGAATACCTCAGCTAGTACGTGAAGCCTCTTCCCTGTGAAGATTCCTGCCCGCATTTCCCGTACCTTGCTTCCCACTCACACTGAATTTTTGTACCACTAAAATGAAGGGAGTCATCCTTGAGTAAGTGTTTGCCAGACTGGGGCCTCCCTTTGTACTTGATTAGTGTTTGACATACTCAGTAGGAAATCAGATCAACTAAAGGCATAAGTGATGTATAATTTCGCATTGCCAGGGGAAGTTTAATTTACGAGCTTCTTATACCCATAGCCAAATGTTACTTTTGGCATAAAGAATGTTTACAATGTTGTTGTTTGGACAAATTACAACTATTTTTTCTTCAGGGCCTGGTCCATGCACCCCTGGAAGGCAGAAAAGAGAGTCACTGCTTTCCAAAACGGGGGCACTCTTTCTGCCTGCCTGTGGACGTGTAACAACCATCTGATGTTTTGGAGGACCTGGTTCTTGGGAAGCCTGTGAGCAACTGATTTGGTGGGCATCTGTGCTATCTCTCTGCATTCCAGGTAGCACCTATACTATTGGTTTCAGTGCCTGGGCTAAGACCTTGGCGGAACTAAGTACATCAATCCCACCTGTGTGTGCTAGGACTCCTTCTCTGTAAGCATCACCTCCCTTCCTGTGCTGGGTGTGTTTTCCTAATGTGCCTGAATGTAGACTGCAGCATGTAACTTCTTGCTCCCATTAAAACACTGCAAATGAGAGCAGTATCCCTTACATGACCAGGGGTACCTTAGCTTGGAGCACATGGTGGTCTCTGACAATTGGCTTCAGAGGAGAACACTCCTGGTCATTCTTCCTTGGAAAAATTCCCATGATTGTGGTCAGGTCTTTTTCATTATAGTCTCATGGTTATTTACCCAGGAGCTGGGAGACAGGAGCATACACCTTCTTGTTGGCTGTTTCTCTGGACTCATTACTCTGGCATTCCCACCTGCATGATGGTACAGCTTTGATAGGGAAGCTGGGAATGACCTCTCCAAGAACACCTGGTAGCACAAGTTTTCTTTACAGGTCAGAAGTGCAGGGTTTTCATCCAGTGTGGTTTTAGAGACCTGACAGCCCACTGCCTCCTTTCTTGGCTGATTGCTCATGCCAGTATGCCATCATACAAAGAGGGGAACCCACTAGAAATAGCCATGTTATTTCTGAAGTCCCAGTCAGTTTGTGCCTTAGTGTATGGATTCTGTGCTTTTAGACTGGGTAAATAACGCGCATGTTGAAGTGGGACATCTAAGAGGTGTGTGCATGTTTAAGCACCCATTTGCTATCAGCACTTTCAGTGGAGTAGTCTGCTGTTTACCTGCTCAGCCTCTGGGTCTCTTGAGCCTGTCTTTGAAGACAGTCACCTCTTTCTGTTGACCAGAGTGGCAGCTTGTATACTGAATTCTGAGTTATGCAGCAATAATTTGAGGGCATGTGCCTAGATTTTAGAAGTCACTAGTCCCTGAATTAGAAGTCCTCTGTCTTCTTCCTGGATCTCTGTCCAAACAAGAGGTGTTTTCGTTTTGCCACCTCTCCATTTACTTCCCCCTTAACCATATAGAAGATAGCTACTTTGTGTGGCATGCACCCCTATGGTGAAGACCGAAGAGTGGATGAGAAGAATTCTAGTTAATCCTAACCAGCATAGCATTTAAGGTAATTTCATGACTGACTTCAGGAGTACTCATGTCCAGCTCCCTTGGGGCCCTAGGAGCAGCTGTGTCATGGAAGCCAGCATCAGGGAACTAGTCTTGCTGTCCATGTTGTGGGGGAGTCAGGATTCAGAGTAGATTCATGCCTTCAACAGACCAGCATTAACTGTAGTCCAGACTATTATCACTGCAGTTTTAATGTTCAGTAAACAATGTGTTATTGCCTGGTAAAAATTGTAGGGATTGTTACATAGACACTGGGCCTCAGGGAAATGGCATATGCAACTATTGCTGTACTTTGATCATAACATCCTAAGGGTCTTGGCATGCACACCAACTTCTGATTATTTTTTACAGCTTTCTCTGCTCTTTTCCTGCATCTAATTCCTTTATGAAAACAAGGCTTAGAAATATTTTTAGCAGGTCATGAAACAGCCATAGTGCCACAATGCAGATCACAGAATGTTTCGAATACGTGACCCATCCTTTGATGAACCCAGGACAACAGCCCACAAGGAAAATCTGAGATTTATCTCTGTTCAGACGCTGAATATTTTTTTCATGTGAAACACTTTTGATTATCCTGAATTTGGTCGTTGAATGGCTGTTTTACTTTATTTTTATATTTTTTACTGCAGTTTAGTTTAGTGCTCTTTCATCCTCCATTCTTCATTAACTTTTATGATTTGTCTCATAATAATATCTGAGTACTGCCATACTGAGATTGTATGGGTAAAAAAAAAAAACAACCCACAGAAAGAATTCCAAAACCATTTTAAAAGGCTACGTTCACAAATACTGAAAGGGCTTTTAACTGTGATGGTGCTCTGAAGACTGAGTACACTACTCAATAACTGTGCTCTTACCAGTCTAACTTCTGTAAGAGCTTCTAGAATAAAGTATTAAATTTCTTCTCCAGAGAGTTATTTAATGAGTTCCTCTGTTTCTATACAAGTACTGCAATGAGTCCTTACTCCTCTTCCATACTGTCAGCCTCCTGCTCCATGCACACAGACTCTAATCTGAACACCAACATGTACATGGGGAAGCAGAAGTCAAACTTCTGCACTGGAATTTCATAATCAAAGCTCGCTCACTCACTGGAAACCTTTCTCCATTTAGATAATATCAGAAAATGTTGCTTTAAATTGTGTCAAGAGTCAGAGAGTGGAATGCAAAGACTCCTCCCCACCACTGCTTGAGCGCAATTTAGTAAATCAGAGTGAGTGTCTCTGGGTTATATTTGTTTACGATAACCTCTTCAGTCTGAACTAAGCTACCAGGACTGGATCAAGAGAGCTCCATGGGACTTACTATATTAGCTCTGTGTTAATCTTTTCACAGGTTGTTCGGTGACACTTGCACAGGCCCTAATGGAGATGTCTATCTCTACAGTGCTTGGGTAGCAGGTCAGGAGCAGAGCATGTGCAGGATGATGCTCTTCTGAATCAGTCCTCCCAGCCTCCCTGATCAGCAATTGTACTGTATTGGCCCATCATGGTCATCCGATTCCTTTTTGAAAGGATTTGTGTTCTTTTGAGCTGTACCACATACACAAGGGTCCACATCTTAATTTTTCTCTGTGTAAAGAAGTGTTTCATATCTGCTACCTGCTATGTTCACATGTCTGGTAGTATGGAAAGTAATGAATGGCCATTCCCCGTTTGCTTTTTCTACAGCTCCTATGACTTCATCATTACCCCTACTTCATACCTCTTTATTTAGGTTCAAGGTCTTAGTCTGTATAGTCGCCACCAATTAATCTCTACTACTGAAGTCAAAAAGATTAAATCACTTTTACCTTGTAATAATAGTCTTTCACAAATATCCAATATTTGCTGCTTTTTATTTTGCTGTTGGGACACCATGATAAGAAAAGAGAGGAAGAATAGAGCAGCAAAAGATGAATTAAGATTGTGTATAAATGAGGTAGAGCCCCACACCAGGCTGCTGTTGTCTTACAGGAAATTCAAACAACCAGTTCCCCTTTTGAAGATGTGGCTGGTGTCATCCTTAGATTGGGAAGGAAGAGAATTCATCTATGTGTGTCTTAGTGTAGCTTCTGCTGAAATTGTCTGGTGTCTGAAAGTCACTGCTTGGAGCTCACTTGATATGTATGTCAGCCTTTCACTGAAGTTGGCATGGGCTTCATTATTAATAAAATTACATGCATGCATGCATTACAGCTGATTAGCAGACAGTGTATTTTCAAGGAAACACTAGGTGTCTCTCTGTGGGGTGGTTTGAAATGTTCCTTCAGGTTCTGCACATCTATACCAATTGTGCACAGTTCAAGTTCTGTTTATCCTTACCAATGGTATATAGGGATTTTTGGACTGTCATTAGGGAGGTGATGCTGGCCATTAGGAGTGGACCATATACTTATTATTTTAGCTATTAACTACATTTTGTTTTTAAATTAAAACGAACACATTGACTACATATCTGGGTTGGCCTTTTTTCCAGTTAATGGATGATCATATGTACAGTGAATCTTCAGGAAACAGTGGCGCTATTCTGTTTGTGTGGACGCACATGGTGCTGAGGGTGAAATGTTTCAACAGGTCAAATACAGTCATCATGACAATTTGTTTTCCCTTTCACCATGGCAAGTACTTTAGCCCTAAGCCTGTTATTTAGGGGTTAAATGTATTCCATGGTGTATTAGGCTGGAATGTGCAATAAAAATAAATTATTTCATTTTTACCACCTCTAAGCAAACTGCAGTTGCTCGGCTGCATCAGTAAGGAAAAAACACTTGAAAACTTCAAAGTGCTGTGAAAGATTCCTTCTCCCTTTCTATCCATGAAACCTAACAACTGTGTCTGCTTTATTCATTTGAATAAGAAGCTAATCATGCCATAGATGCTTCTAAGAAATGGAGCATTAGAGAAACTCCATGTTGCATCTGAGCTGAAGGTATTGTGAACCTTTAGAGAGAGAAGAATCATTTGAATTATAATGTAGATCCTAAAACATGAGAAAAGTTTTTAAAAATAATGAAATACTTAATACTTCCACTAAATTACACTGTAGCCAAAATAGAGTCATAGACTCATAGAACAGTTTGGGTTAGAAGGCACCTTTCCCAGCCATCTACTCTAACACCCCCTGCAGTGAGCAGGGACACCTTCAACTAGATCAGGTTGCTCAGAGACCCACACAGCCTGACCTTGAATGTCTCCAGAAATGGGGCATCCATCACCTCTCTGGGTAAACTGAGCCAGTTTTTCACCAAATAAAAAAAGACCACTTCTTTCCTTGAAAATACAGTCTGTTATACACAGGATAAAGCTAAATATGTCTAAGAATGCTTGTATTTTACTTTAGTTTTTTTTTAAGCATTAGAAAGCTGCTTATGTATTTGTTTTCTTGAAGACACTGCCTGCCTTATAGGTACAGAAAAACACTTGAGACCCCTCATGACGATAAAAATTTGAAGAGCACCTGAATGAAAGAGCCAACTAAAATAAGGTGAGCAATAAAAGTTACAATTTCACAAGTAATTTCTGTGCTTCCACATGTGAATTCATGCTCAGCACAGTTACAAGGAGTGCCTTTCAGTCTGTTTTCCAAAACTGCACATGAACTGTGAGACTACATCCCAATTCTAGACTTCATGTGGCCCATTTGGGATCCTTAGCTTAGCTGCAAAATAATTGTGACTCAAGATTCACAGAAACATATTTTTAGAAGGGTTAAGACACTTCTGAAATTCTCAAAGTACCTGGAAATTGAAACTTTACTGAAACCATACAGTTTTAATGAACTGCAGTTTATCTGCAAATTGAAAGAAGACATCAGAGTTCACATACCAAGAGCTAACTCTTGAACACTGTAAAGAATAACATTTTGTAGCTTTACTTGGCAAGCACAGATTCTTGTTTCAGAAGAGCATGGTAGGTATGATTCTGAAAGCTGCCGTTTCTCTTTTGAAACAGTGCAGCAAACTCTCACTGCTTTCTGGGTTTGGGCACCCGGAGAGACATGCTTTGAATTGTCCACATGTTTTTCGAATCCTATGGGCGGTTTCCAGAGGTAACAGATAAGTAATATCACTGTACTCACTTTTTACTTGCATTCACCAACAGAAAAATAGAATCTTTTAAATGGATAGTGTGGAAACACAAAATGTCCATATGGGAACAGACTTTCATAAGTATTTGAAATCTGAAAGCTCAGTACACATCTTTTATTTTAACAGGCTCTTGAGAACTGTATTTGAGCCAGGAGCCTTGGTGATGCTTTCTAAATACTCCCACATTCTTGGACTTTTTTTTTCCCACTGGTTAACTTAGATTAAATACCAGTTAAAATTCATGCCTTTTTTTTTTTTCAATTCAAAATTATTAAATAAAATATTAGGACTGGCAAGGCAGACATGCTCTGATAAATTGCAGTGTACTTTTACTAGATTAACAATGTGTTAGCTTTGACATCAGCTGTAATATGAACCAGTATTGTCAGATGCACTTTTGGATCCTGACGTGTTTATTGTTAAGCCTGGCATTTTTGCTAGATGATTTATTATTGTTATTATTGTTGTTGTTATTACCATTATTATCATCATTATTGTTACCATTATCGTTATTGTTACCATTATCATTATTATTATCATCATCATTATTATTAAGAACTGAACGCATGTAGCTTATGGGGCAGGATATTTTACAAAGTGCCAATCTGCAAGCTCCTGCTTGAAACCGCTTTACATGCTAAATGAGGTTATGTAGAGTCTAGAGTGAGAGCAAAAGTCAGTACACAAAAGGGCTTGTGTCTTAAGATGCTAGTCTGGAATTTACGTCAACCTCCTCGTCTACTCAGACAAAAATGTACTGAATGTCAGTCATGGATGGGCAAACTAAGGGTATTGCCGGTCTCTTGACATTGCACCATTTGGATATGATGGATGTGGAGAAATTTAATCCCTCCAGGGGGAATCAGGTGGCACTGTCAGGACAAAGAGTGCAAACAATTTTGTACTGGAAAAAAACTTTCCGTTTTTGTATTTTTGTGCCAAAAATGCTTCAGTTTCCAGCTGTTCTGTGTTAAAAGCTAGAGGAAAGAGTCTCAATGTTAAACATGGAATAGAATTTTCTATTGGTTGGATTATGTTTAGATCATATAAAACATGCTAAAAATCATTACCCAGTCACTGTTAAAACATCTGCTTTCTGGATTGGAAAGCTAGATGTTCAAATCCAAGTCGGGGAAAAAAAAAAAAGATTGCCAAAAGCTGTTTTCTTTAAAGACCCTTTGCTGCAAACAAGTGAATTGAGTGTTTGTGATATCTTTCTATTATCCCAGAAGTCAGCCTGAGCAGACAGAGAAAGAAAGCAGATGTCCTACAGACCGAGACACTGTTTGAAGAATATAAGTAATCTTCAAAACCCCAATTATTTAATTTGGGCTTTCCCTTGTGTCATCCCTGCACCAAAACTGAGTGTTTTCCTTTGTCCTCCTAAATCTAGGAAGAAGAATGGAAGTGTCTGTTTCTTTGACATTTCCACTGACTTTTCAGCACTGTGCATTGCTTTTCATTAATGCAGGGAATCCCAGCATTCATCCTGGCAGTCTTCTGTTTTCCTGTGTGCCTCACAGTTTCTCTACAGGTGATTTATTGGTTTCCTTTCACAATAGCACTCGCTCTGGACCATAACTCTAAACTTCTTCAAACTATAAATGCCAGTCTCGCAGCAGGAGTTGAGCACCATGGGTCAGCTGCACAGAATTTGTTCTTGATAGTGCTCTCAACTCTTGTGAGTTTAGCACGAACCTTTTGATATCTGGTGTTCCTTAAAATTCACAAATTTGTAGATGTGTTCTTACAAAGAACTGGAACTTTTATTTAAAAAATATGTGTTTCTATTCTTGTGCTAGTTTAGTAAAACAACAACTCCCCCCCCCAGAAAAAAAAACAAACAACACCCCAACAATAAAACAACTCTTGAACATGTGAATTAAAGTTCCCCAAATCTATTTTTTGAAATCTTGTGATTTTAAGCCCATCTCATGATTTTGGTCATGACTCACAACTTTTTCACTTTGGAAGTTCAGAGTACTGTAATGGAATGCAGAAAGCTGGTTACAGAGTGTTGACTCTTTTTGTCTTCAGTGGCTGACTTGTGTAATTGAAGACAGATGAAAACATACTCTGTTCAACATATTCTGAGCTATTTTGGGGTCAAACTTGTGAATAGAGATAGCTGAAAACATCTTGTAGTTACTTTTTGGTAATTGGATTTTAATTACTTGTTTGTAAAAAGTACCCTGTTGTTTCACCAAAAATCTTTCATCTGAATGCTGAAAACATGAACACTCAAAAGGCTTTAGGTTTTAGATTTTTGTCCAAAGGGTATCCAAGCAAAAATTCTAAACCCAAGTGGCTAATGTTTTTAATGTGGACTATTCAGCGCTGGGTTTTCTGATGATGTAGCAGCTGCTATATCATTAAGAGATCAAATGCTGACCTAAAAAAAATATCTACTTCATGAAAACACCAAATATTCCCCAAATTCTTCCCAAATTTTTCTTGAAATTTTTGTATTCTGGAAACAGCACTATTATCTGCAAATTACACTGGATATGAAAATATCAGCTGAATGTTACTAGTAAAGAATTAGCTGTCTGTGGATTATGCATTCTGCAACCTCTGGCATTTAGTGTACCAACTCCAAAATGCTTAACCAAGTATCACTACTAAAGTGAAAGTACAAAGTCTGTCACAGATACACATACTAACGGCTGAGTATGTGGAACCCCAAATACATATCTGAGAGGGTCCTTTGGTCAGGATATGAATACCTGTGAATATCCAAACTCCATGAGACTCAGACAGGAAAACTCAAGCCATCCCACAAACCTTCACAGTACATGCATACATTTTTGTCCAGTATTTGATCATTTCTGTGGTAAACTCACTCATTTTCAAATTTATAGGTGTCTGCCTAGTTTAGATTCTTCACCACATCGGTTTATCCTTAGCACTCAATCAGAAATCACTTGGAATAGGCTGACTGCTTCCCCTTCAACACAGAAACTGCATGAAATAGCTACACAAAAAAAGTTTATGGGAGAGGTACACTGACGACCTGACTTTGCAAGTGCAGAGGCAGTATATCACTGTAGACCTTTGATATTGAAGGAAGCTTTGGCACAGAAGACAAGGAAATATTAGAAAGTCATAGCTATGTTGCGTGATCCATGGTATTCATTTGTTGATAAGATACATGCCTTGGGTTTATTTGTTCTTATATTTTGAATAACCCAAGTAGACTAAGACCAGAAAACATTATATAGACACAAGACAAATTAAGTGGATGCAGAAACTTTCTACTGTGTAAGGTTTTAGTAGCTATAATGAAATGAGACTGAGGATGTAGTTCACTGCTGCATCTTGGGAGTATAAATTAGACAAAGCTTGCAACGCAGTGTTTGGCCAGGGCTGAGTAAAGCTCACAGTGTTGCTAGGATCTGAACCCAGTAAGTCAGCATCTCAGATTTGGGGATGTAACCCTCAAGGATGTAGAGACAAGAGTAATTGAATCACCTTGCTACATGTGGGACAAAGGAGGCTATGCACCATTTCATGCAGCTTGAAGCATTTCCATTATAATTGAAACCAGAGCAGCCAGAGGAGCTTATTTAGCATCTGCAAAGCATCTAGTAGATGCTCAATGAATTAAGGTAGCTTATGATTTTCAGAAAGCTGAGTATTATCACTTTATTTGACAGCCTATCTCAAGACAGATAATTATGCTGTTGTTGACCTTCTTGTCCTTTTTTCTTCTCTCTATCCTGCTCACTGCCACTTTTTATTCTTTCATGTTTTTAACTCTCCTTCTCTTTCCTTTGCTAACCTGAGGGATGGAGAATAAGAATCTCCATGGAAATGAGTCATGTATTGCTTCCTGTGTTTCATCTTTCCCTGGCCTGTCTTAGTTTCTTCATCCTGAATTCTGTTGGTTAAACCACCTTTTATTGGGTAAATCTCCAACCTCCAGTAAAGCTTTGTCTGCTGAAGAGCCTTTCTGGGATGACCATTACTCTGGTAGATCAGCTCCTCGCAAACAAAAGTTAAAACTCTTTCAAAAGATTACTTTTCAGACAAGAAGATATGCTTTCTAGAAATCAGAAAATTTACTCAAATTGGGAAAAGACCTGGTGGCCAGTAAAATCTCAGTTCCTGACTTCAGTTTTATGTCATGACTAGCACACTTTTTTCCTCCAGTAATATTTTTTCCTATAAAACAGAAAGCTGATTTCAGATTGATTTTCATGAGAATATGTAGGCTACACAGACAGCATTATCATCAAAAAATACTGATTTTTTTACATTTCAGTAACATCAATTACAAGGCAGAAGAGGACATCTGCATGTCTTCTCTTGGTACATGCTTGTTACTGTCAGATATTTCATTAATGAGTTATCTTTCTACTGGATGTTATTTAGACATTCAGATACTGTAGTGTAG